AAAATTCCAAAATTGTTTAAAAACTATAGTTCTTGGGCTATCTCTTTTCTTTCAAAAGGCTTATTTATTTATTTATGCATAAAGAACTGGAGTGCAGACCAGAAAGGCAGGGGTGGTGAGAGGATTTGCCAGAGACAGAATGGGGAGCAGAACAGGCGAGACAGGAGAGGTCTGCTGCGCCATGTGGATCACCTCCGGGACTGGAGATTGAACTCACACTGAAGCAGCAGCGGCTAGCTTCTCAGTGCCACCAGAGAGGGCCCATCTTTTCTAGGATAGTTCTCTAATCCTTCTACTGTGTTGATGGTTAATGCTATGCAAGACTAAGGTATAACTTCACAAACTTTTCCCAAACAACTGAAATTTGGGGGGTCTTAATGTGATATGTGAGGTTGCTGATTCCCAAGAGAAACAAGGTTATTTTTGCACATGTGTTATTAACCACATGTGTTATGAAATAGACATATATTCGCACATATGTTCACATTTAACATTTATCAGAGGCCATTTGACACATATAATATTCTCAGACCAAAGTTGTCTCTAAATAGATAAGAGCCTTTACCTCAAAGTATTAATTATCTTTATTCCTGGGTTGAACAGTATCTATGCTCAATGGCTGGGTCAAGTGGGAAAACAGTAAAGGACACAATCTGTTCTATTTTAGCAATGAGAAAAAGGAATGCTAAAGAAAGTTGATTTAACTGTGTTCTAATATAGTCTCTGGATGATTAGTATACCAATATGATTAAAAAGAATAGAACACTTTCAACAGCATGAGAATAAAAATTAAATATTTCTAGTGAGTAAAATATTCAGTATTGTTAAAAATTCAAGGCACTGCACCTGTATAATAACTAGAATATTCCATCACAGTTGTTGAGAACTTTGGAGTAGGAAATGAAGGAAATGAAATAGACTAGACCACTTAGAATGTTGTTTGATCTGATTGGTTTGGGGGTGATACTGAGATTTCTGTGACACTATTTAATATTTAAAATATTTTGACATACAGGATGTTGGCTAAGCTGGATTAGAATTATATTAACATGGCTGGGGGAAATGTTATTTCCTATGGGAAAGTCAGTCACGCTCATGAGATATTGGAACTCTGACAACACTACTCATAACAGACTTTTAATAGGGTTCCTAAAAGAATTAAGTTTTATAGGACCTACTATGTACAATACATTCATTTATGTTCCATAGATTCAAAATGGCACCAGATATGTTCTCTGGGACAATTGAGAGTCACTCACATATTTCCTATAGGGCTTAAAGCTCTTGCAAACATTCAATTAAAAAGTAAAACGAGGCCCTCCCTGGTGGCGCAGCGGGTTAAAGCACTGCACTTAGAAGCCTAAGCCATTTCCGCATGAGTTCGAGCCCTGCCTGCCCCGGAGGTGACCACATGGCGTGGCAGACCTCTCCTGACCCGCCCACTGCTCCCCTCAGCAGTGTACTTCGTTGATCTGCCTGTTCTGCTCCCCACTCTGTCTCTCGTGAATTCTGTCACCCTCCGCATCTCTGGCCTGTACCCCAGCTCTGTATGAATAAATAAATCTTTAAAAAAAAAAAAAAGAAATAGGGTCCTCCTTGGTGGTGCAATGGGTTAAAACACAAGGGTGTAATGGGTTAAAGCACAGCACTGCGAAGCTGGCTGAGCACTGAAGCACAGCTTCAGTGTGAGTTCCATCCCCAGCCACGGAGATGACCCACATGGCGAAGCAGACCTCTCCTGTCTCACCCTTTGCTCCCCTCAGCAATGTACTTCTTAGGTTTGCCTGTTCTGCTCCCCACTCTGTCTCTGGTGAAGCCTCTCACCCCATTTCCCTTCTCTTCTCACCGTCCCCCTCCCCCTGCCATACCTTTCGCCTGTACTCCAGTTTGTATGCATAAATAAACAAATCTTTTGAAAAATTAAGTAATTAATTAATCACACTGGCTAACACCCCAATTAGCATTACAGGTTATCAAAAAATAGAGCGTTTCATTTCTGAGAAAACTTTCATAAGCTAAAATGGTGTGAAGAAGCCATTACCATCAATACATACGCAAATAAAATTGTGTTCCTAGATCCAAAAACTAACCTACTAAATCATACCAAATAATACATAAAACCTAAAATAACATTTGCTTGTAGTGAAAACAGGAATGTTGTGATACATACGCAAGCTGCAAACAGTGGTTCATGAAGGAGATTGCAGTGCCTCTCACTGCCAGGATGTAGCCGCAAAGAAGCTGCCGCAAACACTCTCAACGCTTTTCGTCTTTTGTCGTAAAAGTGAAAAGCATCTCTGGATTTCTTGCAATTAGCGAGAACGGTGCTAACTAGATCTTTCATGAAAGCAGAGTAACAAAACTTTCACATTCTAGGGGACTAACTATAGGATAATTTCAATTGATGAAAATTATTTCCATCTGGAAGAGATCTCAAAATAAAGATATACTATGTGGTACTTCCTTTTTTTTTTTTTTTAAAGTTTGTACTCATTGTTTTAGTCATACTGCATATCACCGCAAGTAACAATCAGAAGTCAAAAAATTATTTGACCTATATCCCTGTCGTATTTCAAAATAAGAAATTTTGATTGGGTACACTATCATGTGCCATCTTTAATAAGTATACTGTCTCTTTAAATTTTGTAATACTTTCTCCTTAGTTTTAAGTTTAGAAACCTGCATCATTTTGCAAGACTCAAGATACTTGACTAATGTTTGGGGACACATACTTTAATTATAGATCTCAAACATAAAACCAAAAATAAGCTTTTTAAATTTTAGTTACAAAGGAAAATAAAATGGGACATATTTTATTCTAAACATTAAAATATTACTGATAAACCACTTTTATTATTTCATAAATCAAGAGATTTTGAACTAAAACATGTATCTCTCATCTCTTACCCTTTACACACTCAAGTACACACACACAACTCTCCACACAAACACACATTCTCAGATAGTTTCATTAATGTCATACTTTACCTCACATATCAGCATTGATTTATCTAAGCAGTGGGAGGATGAATTAATAGGAGTAATTCAAAGTGTGGCCCATAGCCTAGTAGCATTTCCTGAATATTGTGAGAAACACAAGAACCTCAGACCCACTTCAGATTTATTATTTGACAGATCTATCCTTTTACACAATCCCCCAGGTGATTATGTCTGTAAAGTTTGAAAATGCTGCTCTCGAACAGTGGTTTTCAAACTGCGATATCCAAAGGAATTGCATTGACTCTATCTCTGAATGGGTGTAAAAATGTAATTTTTCAGACTCCATGCCAGACCTACACACACACTGTGAGGCCCAGCAATTGGTGTGATGCCATGACTTCCAGCTTGGGAACTGGAGGAAGCTGCTGCTATTATCCTTACCACATCCCAATAGTGATTGCAAGTTCTAGAGTGCGGATGTTGACAAATGCTTGGCAGAAGCAAATAAAGCCTCAGCTACACTTTTAAGAGTCTGTGGGATTGTATCTGTATAGCTTTCTAACTCATCTGTGTCCCTCTCTGATTACTCATAAAACTCCAGGTACAAAGCTCTGTCTCACTTCAGGGACTTCAGGCTCACTGTTTCCACTCCCTGGAAAGCTTTCTCATTCACCTTAGCCAGGCTAGCTCCTTTAGCTAGTTCCATCACCTCCTTAAAGGCTTCTCTGGCTCCTCTAAGTTTGTCTTCTCTCTTTTTGTTTTTCTGTCTAAACGTTGTTTTGACAATTCACAGTTGTGGTACTTGTCACTTTACTTATCATTTATTTCCCCTATTAGACCGTAAAGTCCCTGATTCAGGCCCCGCTCTGTTTGAATCACCATTTTCTTTAGTGTCTAACACTTTTGTATAGGAGCTTATTTTAGTGAATTTAGTCAGTATTTTTGGCTAGATGAGAAAATAAAAGGAACCCTGAAAAAGATACCAGACTCAGATAGATCTTGCTACTACTAGTAATAGTGGTGCCATCAAGACTTATTTTTCCCTACAATCAGAATGGTTTAAAGAAATGGTTTTGTCACTGAATCAAGAAAATAAGTAAGTATAAGTTGCCATTGAAGTATGATAATTTTCAACATTAAAAGTGCTTTAAATACTATATTTTTTTCTTTAGAGACAAAGAATCTTGTTATTTTTAAAATGTTATAGAAGTAGATAACTTTCACCTGAAGAATAATTGAATCAAAACATAAAATTGAAAGTTTTAATTTCCTTTTGAAAGATGTGTTGAATTCAATACAAATTGATAAAGCATCTTTTCTAAGCCATAGGAATTAATGTTACATTTAAAAGGCAATTGACTGCAAAATATAATCTATACTATCCTTTATTTTTAAAGAGAAATTCAAGATCTTATTTTATGTTTAATGTGTTGCAGTAATGATGTCTTCTTTGCAACCCAAGACAGCACAGTAAAGTAATGGCACAAAAAAGGAATTTTTGTTGTTTTTTTATCTTTGTATTATCTTCATTTACCAGTAAAAAATAAACTCTTTAATAAATAAATATATATAATAAATATTTGCAAATTGAAAGTGTATAAATAGGTCCATCCTTTAAAAAAAAGTTCCATCTTGGTATGGCATGTTTTATAGTCCACATATCACCCAGGTTTTTTACATATAATGCATAACCTGCAAAATCCTATAAAGGTCCTCAGAAGTCATGTAGCAATAATCTTGGCCACCTATGTCCAACCATTTCTTCAACATGAAGTATCTATTTTTAGTGTCATTTGTAAAGTAAACATAATCCAGAGAGGTGAGGCATCAGCAGCAAACTAGATGGGGTTCCCATTTATCCACAATTTAACAGGTTTGTGTCTTCAGTCTACTGTTAAGTTTGAGTCACTGAAGGGAACTTAATCCACTTTGAACAAAGATCTTGATAATGTTCAAGATAAATTTTGTTTGTTTTTTTCTCAGTATTCTTTCCCAGTTCTGTCTCCCAGTGGAAAATGGGCTCTGTAACATTCTGAATATCCTCCTTGGTTACTACTGACATTTTGAGATGGAAACAATGATAAGGGAAAAGAGCTGTGATTTGATCCTTCAGGGAAGATACTACAGTTCAACTGTACATCAATATGTCCTTGTATAATTCAGGAACTCTCTCTGGGTCCACTGGTCTAGGCAGGAAATGCGTAAATTTCTGATGTCGTTTAGATCTGGCACCATCTCTTGGAGTTCCATCCTTGTTAAGTGCCACAAAATATCTTCGCCCAGTGTCTCCATGTTTATATATGTTGGATGAATATGTATTATACCAATTTTCCTCAAATTGTTCCCTAAAGATGCATTCAGAAGTCAGTTTCTCCTAAGAAAGAGAGAAGATAACCACCATTAAAAAAAAACCTCTGAGAGGATTTTCTTAGAAAAGTCTCAAATCTTTATTTTTCTTTGCCTTTATTGAACAAGAAGAAAAATTGTTTTTGTTTTACGATAACTCAGTTCTTATGTTATCTGGGATTATTTCTTGCAGTTGACTGCATCCAGCAACTCAGTTCAAAGACATTAGGTTAAATGTCAATTTACAATTTTATTTTTAAATACTTAATAAATATTCTGAACTTTCCTATCACCCAAATTATCACCCTATTATATTGCCAACAAACAGGTCTCTAGTTTAACTTGTTTCATTGTTAGACTCCAAAGTTCTATATTCAAGTGTCTATTATCAGCTTGAAACATTTGAAGATCTTGATAAAATCCAAATTCCTAATTCAAGTTCATTATTCCAAATTGTGTATCTTCCTTTTATGAATGTATTAATCATTTGATGATATATTTCCCATGATTAATTTTTATCAGATGTTACTATTAGATAAATGTAACAAAGCCCAAAGATTCTTGTCTTTTCAAAAAGGAGTTCATATTTTCCTAAAGGGTTGTTACAGTTACTTTATAAATATATCTCATACATGAAGAAGAAAGATTGCATGCATGTTTTTCTGTTTAAACTTGTAATTCTCTTTTCTCTTATGATTATTATACAATACTTAAAAAAAAAAAAACGTACTGATCCATAGAGTTCTCCTTTGTCGTTCATTCCAAGATAAAGACCACTGTCCACACCTCTAATACTGACCAGACCCACCGCCACACTGATGAATTCCAGGATACCTGGAAACAAAGAAGTAATTAATGATTATTAATGAGCATATAAATAATAAAAATCTCCCAGGTAGCAGCAGTAGTATAACAAAAACTGAGAAGTATAATGACTTTTGTGGAGTTCCCTTGTAAACTGAAAATTACTACAATTTACAAATTAAAAAAAAAAACTTCATCATGGCATCATTATTATTAAGGATGAAAAGCTCCAAAGTTTTGACTGACCTAAATTTGAATCCACTTCACTAATTTAGGAGCTAGTCTGACTAAGCAAATCATTTGTTTTCTTTGAACTTCAGTTTCCTCATATGCAAAATGGTGAAACACCTCCCTACAGGAGCATGGTAGAGACTAAAGCATTTAGGCAGTCAACAAGTGGAAGCTATTATTATTGTAAATAATATTTACAATATTATTTTATGGAACACTGGAGCTATCAAAGACTTCACAGCAACAATGTGAGGCCCCTTAGTGACCTCAAGGAGTCAGTGTCTATAACAGACAGTCTAAGGCAGAGAGAAAAAGAGAGAAGTATGTAATAGAGGCATTTTTAGTTTTCCATAATTTCATTAGTTAATGACAACTATGCCTATTACTTGCTTTATTTTACTTCTTACTACAATTCAAGTCAAACTTTTTCTAGCAGCAGCCAGTGAATGTTATATGGGTTTATCAGTATTTTTATAGTTTATAAATAGGGCTTTGGCTTGGCCTTCCATATAAAGTCTATTGAAAAAAAGTATAGATGTACTTTCTATGCTTGGAACTGTGTTACCCAATAGACATCTACCTTTATCCATGTACCCCCTCTTAAGCTCAATAAACAATGTCAATGTGTACCAGTTAGCCTAACTCTTAAGGTTTATTGTAGAAGTTCTTGTTTAGACATGTGATCCCATGGTCATCTGAAGGCTCAAAAGCTCACTACTTGCTCATGACTTACTCATATGGAGGCTTCTATTCAGTCCAGAATCTAATTTACTCTTTGGAAGAAACAGATTCTTAAGCTCTAAACATAAATTCTTATGTGCTCAAAGGAGTTTGTTCAAACTCCTGGGAGTTCACATGGAAGATTGGAGCTATCAAAGACTTCACAGCAACAATGTGCTACTAAATAACCCCTTAGTGACGTCAAGGAGTCAGTGTCTATAACAGAGAGTCTAAGGCAGAGAGAAAAAGAAATAGCAGGAAGACCCAGACTCCCACATGGGAACCATTAGAATGACAAAAATAGAGATAGGAAGTAAAAAGTAAATAAATAAATTCATTACTAAGCTCATTAATGAGTGATTCCTGTCAAAGAAAAACATAGCCCAAAATGTGACTGGTAGAATAATATACAGTTATGGGATTTCATCCAGGATGCACTAAGGTATAATTATTTGAAGTAGGATGAATGTTAAATTCAAATGAAAAGTGTGCCACACTGACATGTAACCTCATACTTTTTCAGTACCTCACTTACATTAAGATGCTCTTGTCTTGTAAAGAAGGTGTAGACTAGAGTGTATACTAAAACCAGTTTTCAAATATAATAGAATATGTTTCACTTTTATATAAGCTAATTATGTAAAAGATGTTTTAGTTACTCATTTTTCTTTCAAAATTAAATGGTAAACCACTTATACTTAAATTCTCACCTAAAGATACTGTTATCTATACAAAAAATATGTAGCTGTAGAAAGGCAAGAGACTTCATATTATTCTTAGATTAATTCAAAGTTTGACTAACCAACATCCAAAACCTCATATATAACCCGGCATAAGTAATTTTGCAATGGTTCATGGGGGTTGCTGGGAAAAGGGTCATATGTTTTTTTGTGTTCCTCTTAAAGATTTTAGCCACACTTTTTAATTCTGATCCTTTTTCTCCTCAAGGAAATAGTATACCACATAGTAATTTGTAATCATTTGATTCTTAAATGAGATTTGACAAGTCTTTCTTATTTATAATATGAGGTGGCAACTAAGCTAATTCCTTAACAAAGAGTAGACATGAAAAACTTTCCTTAAGAGGTAATCACAGATTTTAGATAGATTTTCTAATGCCCAGTGTCCCATAAAAAGACTTGGAGGAACTTTGTCTTTCTGGTATCATTTTCAAAGCCAGCCTTTTTCAAAATCATAATAAACAGGTGAGTCAACCCACAATGCAACCACATCAGACAAATCTATGGAGAATAGGGGAGAATAAAGGAAAAGCCTTTAAAGGAATATGTTTGATCTCAGGCTAAACTTTTTTTTTTTAAGTAATGATTCCATGTTTACGTATTAGGTAAAGTTTTCTTACTGTACTACTGTGCAGGAAAAAAATCTGTTATAAATAGAGAACTAACTCAGATAGGAAATTATTTTAACCTCATGGGACCTTTCTGTTTATATTCTATTGATGTGGTTTTGAAATTTTCAAACACCCTACTCTGAATTTTTTTAATTTAATCATGGCCAAATTAGTATAAATTATCAAAAGTGTAGCTTCAACATCTCAAAACCCAATCTTAATCTCTTTCAAAATTCTTACTTTGATGTTGCAGAAATGAGTTTAATAGAAATACAGCAAAATAATTTCATAATTAATAATTAAAGCACAAAGAAAAGGAGAGAGAGATACATATACAGTTGAACATAAACTTTCTTTTCACCTGATCTCCCCTGTAGTTAATAATAATGTCTGGTTATCAAAGGCCACTAGGATGCACTGTAATGTTTTCTGGAGGCTGTTCACTCCTCTAAGCTACCTATCTAACCTGAGTTATTTTCTCTTTTAGTAACAGTAAATGTTTTGTCTTAACATATGACTTCCCACCACAGTGACAAACCAATTCAAAATCAGTCCAAGTCATAAGCAATTACTAAATAATAATACAAAATTTTAACTCAAAAAAGTGCTACTGAGATAGTATTCTAATTCATAACAATTATTTCCTTAACAATGTACTTAAACCTTAAAGAATGTTATCAAGTCTACAAATATTTACTAATCTTCTTCCTATAGGTCAACCTTATAAAGATATAAAAAGTGGAAAAAAGTACCTTGCCATTGGGGAGATTACAATTAACTTAAAAGCAAAATTTTCAAGACTATGCTATGTACGACAGTGGGGAAATCTGAGTGTTACCTGAACTATTATCTACCTGTTTCATCACATTTATGTCATTTCTCCAAGTTTCTGGTAGCTAGGGGATTTTTCTGTAATGAGTGGAGCACAGTAATTCTTAAAGGCGAGAGAACTGAGCCACCTGGTGTCAGCAAAGTTCTTTAGAATCAGACTCTCAGCCTTCTCAGTTTAGAAACCACTTTCCAAAAATGACCTCAAGGTTGGCCACTAGGTCATGACACTCTCACTCATGGTCAGTGAGAATTTGGAAAAGATCAGTGGAAGTTGCAAACATATGGGTTTTAGAAAGTTAATTTTCTAAGCCTTTAAGTGCTACCAAATGACCAACACATGCTCATTTCTACATCTGGAGTTACAAATGCCCCTTACACTGAGATTTACACTTCTCCAAAGTTTTAATGAGCACTACAAGTTAAAAAAAAAAAAAAAGGAATGAGAGTATGAGAACAAGCAGTTGAAGACAAGATAAAAGGGCCATTTAGAGAAGAGAGATACTCGAAGAATTCCATACAGCTAGGGAAAAAAAGGGGGGGGGAACTAAATCCGTGTTGAGCACTTTCACATTGCTATTAAATAAATGATAATTTTTTTCTGGCAATGAATCTCTCCAATGATACCCAAGTCAGACGAGCAAAATGCCTTGCAAGTGCTGTGAGTGAACTCTAATGAAATGAAAAGTTCTGTAGGAGCGGATGAGGGGTAGGGGTGGGGGGAGGGAGGAAGATTCTTCGATCTTACAACTAGAAAGCATCTTCAGCCATCACCTAATTTTACCCTATCATTACAGAGACAAGTCGCAGACTGATGAGAGCGCTTGCAAGTCCAGTTAGGGAGCAACTACCAATAAAGACTTTATGATTGCTCAAAGTAGTGTCTTAACAATCTATCCCAACAACAATTTATTAACCCCTCTCCTCCCAGTCAACGCTAGAGGTATTCTGAAACCTGTTCCCAGTTGTTCCCACCCATATCAGCTTTCGCTTCCCCATTTCCTCTTACCTCTTACCAATATCAAGATCTTTGCTTTTGGGTTTCACAATTTCTATAGAGGATCTTGGCTGAAGGACTTGGGCAGGCTACCGGTAGTCAAGTAGCCCCCCTCTCCACAGCCCCCCTTCCCCAAGCCTTTTCACCCAAATAGAACTCGAGCTCATAGAACTGCAGCCCAGTGAGCCTGGCAGCCGTGGGGTGCCCCCACCCCATGCAATAGCGACCCTCTGCGCAGCAGCCACCAAAAGGATACTCAGTTGCACAGCTGCGGGTCATTTTTAAGGAAGCGCAAGGTTCCGGTTATAATCTTGGTTAAGTGGATGAGGAAAATGTAAGACGAAGTAGAGAAAAATAATATAGAAATCGAGCACAAAACAAATTGCCTTCGAGGTAAAGAGTGTGAAGAAAATGTGATTCTGAGTCCATGTCTTGGTATCCCAGGGAGCAGGAAGGGCAGGGCTGGCAGGGGTGTGCGGGACACCCACCCCTTTTCCTCCCGCCCCCCGCAGTTGCTGGAGCAGCAGGCCCGCTAGAGACCGCGGCAGCGAGCGGGCGGGGTGGGAAAGCCTCCCCTTTCCCAGCGCTGGTCAGACCTGCAGCCCCAGGCTCGCACCGGAAGGGTCGCGCGGGCTCCCTGCCCAGCGATACCCCGACGTTCTCCGCCCGCGGGGAGGGAGGCGCCCCGCGTGGACGCGGAGTCCAGTGGGGGGAGCTGTTGGGGTGCCAGTACGTACCGAAGAGGCTGTGGTCCTGCCGGGTGCCCTGCACGCTGCCGTCGGGCAGGATCTGCAGGTGGAAGCCGGTGCGACAGTAGAGCTGCCGGCGGCGCAGAATGCCGTGCAGGTGCGCCAGCTCCGCAGCCCCCGGCCCGCCGCGGGCGCCTCGCTCCGCCGCGCCCCGGCGCTCCCCCAGCAGAGGCGGTCGCTCTCCGGCAGGAGGCAGCAGGAAGTGCGAGCCCACCTGATGGCCCAAGCCCTCGAGGCCGCCCAGGAAGCCCCCGACTTCGGCTAAAGGAGCCATGGATGGGCCTGCGGGAGAAGTGGCCGATCCGTATAACAAAAGACTCTCCCTCCCGGGTAAAAAGTGTAGCAGAGATGGGAAGGTGAACGGAGAAAAATTACAGCAAAACAAGCGCAGGAAGTTAAGGCCCGGCTACTCCCGTGAGGTCGCTGAAGGGACTTTGCACTGAGATAGCAGGGAAGCTTTCACTGTCTTGGAGCGATCTTCTCTCCTTGGGTAGGTGGGAGCCGGCTGCTGGCTTTGCAGAAACATCTGTAGCTGCGGCTGCCGACACTGGGGCTAGAGCTGGGGCTGGGGGCTGGGGCTCCAACTCCGCAAACTGATCAGATCAGAGTCCTGTGTACATACACACCGAGTATATATGCGGGTCCTCTTGACATATGCTAATCAAGTCCTTTCAAGCGAGCTGGGGAGGTTCTGTTTGAAATCTTAAACCCGCCTCCTCTCAACACGTTTTTGCTCTTCGGAAGTGACCGAAAGGGGCCCTTGTCGGTTCTCTATCCATGCAGTCGCAATAATCATTCCCACACTTGGTCAAAGAGAGCCAGCAACTTCGGGGTGGCTCGGTCAAGGCCCCTCTTTTAGGGTTGTCTTTGGAACAACCGTGATGCTGCTCGGCGGCTGCTTGCGAGCGCCTTTGATGTGAGCTCTTTTGCAGTGATAGATCGCTGCTAAAAGGAGCCCAGCTTGGCAGGTATATAGAAGGGAAGGGGGAGGGAGGGGAGGGGAGGGAGGAGGAAAAGAGAGGAGAGGAGAATTGGACTCCTTGAGAGCTGCTGGAGCCTACAGTGGACAGGTGCAAAGAAAGGTAAGCGAGAGAGAAGGAAAAAGGGCGTTACCTGAGGCTTAGACCTGCCCAGACACACATGAAAGGAAAATCAAAGCTTTGACAGTTTAACTCACTAATTTTAAAACACTAATAAAATGTATGAGCACTACTCTTTTCTTTTATCATTTAGATGGGGGATTTTCTTTACATAATCAAGGTTAGGTTAGGAACACACATACCCTCACCCCCTCCCCAGGTTCTCTTTAATGTTTATCTTTACTCAGATAGCACACGATGGAACCAAGATTGTCTTATATCTATATGGAAGTTTTAAATTGTGTGCTAAGGTCATGGACTTTTAATCAGCACAATATAATCATGAATCTAGGGGTTACAAATAAATCCAAATAGGCTGGGAGGAAATAGTTTTCATTCTTCTATTTGCCATAAATAGAAAATGTGTATCTATAATAGTGTCATAAGTGATGGTGACTTCTTGGGCCCCTATTCAATCTAAACATACTTTCTTATTCTTAGTTGCATTTTCTTTAAAATTAGATCTTGAGGTTCACATTTCAATAATAAAAGCACCTCAAGGAAAATGAGGGTGATTCTTCATGTTTTGAGATGTAAAGTTTTTAAAAATCGAGAGCACCTGTGCATATTTGTAAAATAAAAAGCTACATAAGTGATATATGCCCATTTATACCTCAAGTTTTTAGTTTGTACCATACTTTAATTCACTATCTTTCTGTTAAAATTTTTCAGTCACAGAATAGTTGGGACTCACTTAGCAGATTATACTTCCTCTAAGCAAAAGGTTTTCGGGAACCAGTGGAGATTAGTTTTTCAAACTTGATCATGTTCCAGTCAGCAAAATTCTAAACCTGGGAAATGAAATTGATGTGACTGTTTCACTTTATTTACTCCAAAGGGTTTTTGTTTGTTTGGTTTTTGCCAATTAATTGGCAGGTGCTTAAAAGTAGGTAAAGTTACACCTTTTCATTACTGCCTCACTAAGTACTGACCTTTGTGCGACTGAGTTATAAAAGACTCCTTGAAGGGGGCCTCCCTGGTGGCCTAAGGCTAAGTCTCAGAACTACCACTGGGATGGCTCACATGTGGTGCAGCAGACCTTCCTGTCTCACCCCATGCTTCCCCTTAGCATTGTATTTCAGTGGATCTACCTGTTCTGCTCCCCACTCTGTCTCTGGTGAATACTCTCCACCCCTACTCCCTCAAGCCCTGCATCTCTGGACTGCACCCCAGTTCTTCTACACAGAAATAAATAAATAAGAACCCTTAAAGCAAGTGATTTGCTATTGATAGATAGGAAATAAAACAAAAAACTGAATAAAAAATAAACAGATAAATCACTTTAGAAATGTGTATTGCTAGGTCTGTTTTAGCAGTTGTACACAGTAAATGTCTTATTTACTTCACCTTTCAAATAACAGCAGTCTGTCTTGTGGTAGGACCCCCAAATCCGCCATAATCAAGATTTCAAAGCACATCTGTGTAAACATTATCACATCAGTGTAAAACATCAACCAATGAGCTTTTACTTTGAACCAAATCTTCTTAATTGCAGTGTTAAATCAAAGAAAGTTAGATCAAAGTTTTGTGAATCTCATAGCAGGATAACTAAAGTAGCCAGTACATACATTGATCACTTAAAGAAGGGATACTTAAAGGTTTAAAACTAAGATCAAGTACCTTTTAATGAGGTTTGTTTCAAGGTCTAAGTTCTATGCAACATATAATGCTGTTAATTATTCCACACTGGATATATAGCATTGTCACCTGCTCCTAGAAGTATAAGTTCAGTCTATAAAGTATTTCCCCATGTGAACAATTTGTCCTGCTGTGTTATCTACAGCTCTTAGATTGTTTAAATCTCATGTTGTAAAGAGAGACATGTTACAAAAATTTTAGACAAAAGTCCCAAGTGTTTAACAGTATTAAAATCATTTTAAAGTTAACATTTTCAAGTTATTTGATCTGCGTAATAACCCCATGAGATATGCATCCAACCTTATAATGAAAACAAGGTCCTTGATTCTCTCTAACTGCCCATTTCCTTTTTTCTACAATATAACTTATGTTTATTTGACTGTGCCCAGAGTTGCTGAGATAGAAAGGTGAAAAGATGGGGAAGTGATTTTAAAACTATGAAGTTTCTATGCATATAAGATGCTAGATACTATTAGTTGTTGGGATTTATTTTTGCTTTATAATTTAGCAAATATAGTTTACATTAAATGCAAAATAAAACTTTCCCCCCAAAATGAACCTTTAATATGTAAGTTTTAAATGGTGCTTAATGCTGTTTTATGAAGGGTGAAAATAGAAACAAAAAGATAAGGACTTCTTTTGTTTGCACTAGTCATGTGACAGGAAAAGATAACACCAAAGATTTTTTTGTACATGCTGTGATGATATCATGGGAAGTTAAATAATTTTGAAGAGTGTTTTACAAGAGTGCATTATTCAGCTTTTAAGTATACACTACAATCTAATCAACTTTACCTATACTTCCTAGAGACCACACTTGCCTTGCTGTTATACAAATACATGGTACAATTTCTACTTCCACAAAATGTAGTTACAGTTTTCCAGACCATGTAATTCTTATATAGCTTTTAGCAGGTATTTTTCATGAATCTTTACTTTTACACATGAAAAAGGAATTCACTTTTTGATACTTCCACATATGTTTAAATTAAGAAAAAGAAATAATTTAAATAAATCATGACTTACATTGCCCAATAAATCAAAGGTACATTGCCCAACATTCTTCATTATGTGTAATTATAAAATATTGGGAGCTATATAAATTTCCATATAGCAAACTGATTGACTGGATTATGACACATGCACCAGTGGAGCATTATGTAACAGGAAAAAAAGAATAAGGAAAATTTCTATGGACAAATATGGAGTATCTCCAGAACATATTAAGTGAAAAGAACAAAGCATTAGCACATTTTACATATAGAGTGCTGACTTTCTGGCAAGGTGACAGAAAAATAAGAAACTTTCACAGGTATACCCTTTTTTATACAAAAATATACCCAGAGTAGATAATGACTTTAGTTATCAAGCTACCTGACTTCCTGGGATGGATGTGAATAGACTAGAAGAGAGAAGGGTTGTTGACATTTCTTTGAGGACAAATTTTTAGAGTCTTGACTTTTGGAGAAATGTCAATGTTTTCATTTTTAAGTAAAATAAACAAGAAGGAATAAAGTACATTTGGAGATGGAAAAAAAAAGGAACAAATGAACCCAACTAATTCAAATGAATAACATATGCACACATAAAATAATTGCAGTATATTTTTTAAATCCTAAGTAACTTTTGACTACAATTCTTTGACGAGATAATCAAGATCTAAAGAAAAAAATATTGAATTTCAGTTACAGAAATTGTCTTTCTCAGTGGTAGGGATTAGAGTAGAGTATTATAAATTGGAGCAAATGAGTAAGCAAGTTAGCGCCCAATATATTGTATTGATAACTCATGAGAGCTAAGTGCTTCACAGAGCATGGAGTCACAAACAAGAAAACAGGGTAGGCTATATAACCAATCCTGGGTCATTGAATCACCTTTGCAGTTTCAGTACAAACACATGGCAAATGTGCTCATATCTGTGTGTGTGTGTGTGTGTGTGTGTGTGTGTGTTAGCTTTGTCCACTAGAAGGCCATACAAGCAAACCAGGGACATTTGAGCACACCTCATGGTCAGAGTCTAGTTTCTCAGCTCAATCTCTCCACTAAAATGACTATGGAAAGTGTCTAATTCTAGAAATGGAGTGATTTTTTTTCTTTTTAAAGTCTATTTTTAAAAGCAATTTTAGATTCACAGAAAATGAAAGGAAGGAACAGAGATTTCACATCTATCCCCTCTCCTCACATTAACATCTACCAGAGAGGCACACTTGTCACAACCAATAAACCTATAATGACTATCACCCAACTTTCATAGTTTACATTTGGGTTCACTTTTGGTGTTTATATTCTATGGTTTTGTACAAATGTATAACGGTATGTAGTCATCATTCTTAGTATCATGCAGAGAATTTTCAGCGCCCTAAAAATCATCTGGGCTCCATCTATTCACTCGCCCCTCTTCTAAATCCTAAAATCAATATTCTTTTATTATCTGCATAGTTTTGTCTTTTTCAGAATGTCATGTATTTAGAATCATGGATAGCTTTTCCAGATCAGCTTCTTTCACTTAGTAACATGCATTTAAAATTACATACCATACCACACACACCACCAAAGCATCCATAGTCCATTGGATC